TATCTTTTCTCGGGACTTGCCAGGGCAGGAGATATTCGACATTGCCTTCAAAGCATTTGTACAGCAAACAATTGGTTGTTAGAAATGCATGAGTATGATATTCTGCGTGGGGCAGAATGCGATCTCAGCAGCGCCTCACTCTGGGGCAAGATTTTCCATCAAGTCGAGTCCGGCAATTTTGATGTGGTCATCCTGACACCTCCGTGTGGCACCTTCAGTAGAGCTAGGTTCAATTTTTCCCTGTCCGGCCCACGGCCCCTTCGGTCAAACATTTTTCCCCGAGGCTTCCCGTGAACACCGGCGGTTTCTTCCTTTTTGAGCACCCAGAGCCGCTGGGCACAGTGAAGACAGGTGACGTTCCCGGCTCGGTCTGGGATTTTCCAAACATGCGTTCATTGATCGAGTCTACGCAGTCTGCAACTTGGGGCATCCACCAGTGTTTCTTTGGCAGCGAGACGCCAAAACCCACACGTTTGGGCAGCAATCTTCCCGAAGCCCTGCGTTTCGGACAGTGTTGGCACATTTTGGATGAGTCAGGCAAGTATCTTGGCCCTTTAGGCATGTGTCCCCACAATCACGATGTCGCCCTGATTGGCAGAGACGAAGCTGGGTGGAAAACATCCGCAGCAGCCGCTTATCCACCCTTGTTTTGTGAATACCTTGCTAGGCTTATCTTCTCAGCCACCACTGGCATTCAATCTGTTGCAGAAAGTTGGGCTGCATCACACGTGCACCCCGCCGAGGCTCTCTCTCAAGTCCTGCTTCAGGCCAATCAGACACCGCTGCCAGAGGACATTTTGGCTGTGTTCGAGTTGCTGCCGCACACCCGGGCACACCCCGGCACGGGGGACTCAGACCCAGGCAAGGCTTTCTTCGCAGGCGCTAATTGGGAGCAAGCTGGGTTTATAGTTCGAGATAACACCTTCTCCTTCCCTTCTTCTTGTCAGTTGATCTGCAAGTTCATCCAGAGTGTTAGCAGGAGTCATCACTTTGCTGCCTTCGTGATTCTTAAGGAGGTAAAGAGTGCTTGCCATCGTGATTTGCGCAACGCGGATTACCCGAATCTGGTCTACGCGCTTTCCAAGTTCTCAGGCGGTGGTGTGTGGCAGCAAGCTGAGCAGGGTACCGAGTGGCGCTTCTTTCTTGACACATGGATGTGTGGGGAAGTCCTCCCATTGCAGCCGGGTCCGGCATTGGTGCATGCGCGCGCACGGTATCATGCAACCGAGCCTTGGCAGGGTACTAGGTGCATCATTGTTGCTTACTTGCCGGAGTCTATTGAGTCATTGCCAACAGAGGGCGCAAAAATTTTGCAGTCCCTTGGTTTTCACTTGCCTTCAGCCCTTTCGGCGGGGGCAAGTCTGCGACACGCAAGGTCCAGGACGCGCCCATAGGGGGGCAGCAGGTGCAGCAGGTGCAGCAGGCGCAGGTCGCATCCCAGGAGGCCAGTCAGGCGAGCAGGCTTGAGCAACAGGGATGCCAGGCTTTCGGTTCACCGCAGGAGGTGGAAGTCATTTCCAGTGGCGACGAGCACCAGAAAGGGGCCCTGCAGGTTCAGTCGGAGGAGCGTGAGGAACCATTCAATCCTACATTGAGCGGGTCGTTTGGCCAGCCCATGATTTGCAGGTTCGAGATGTGCAAGCGCGAGATTGTTGATGGGTTTGGCCTTTGTTCTCCCGGTAGGTGGACGCCAGCAGCCAGGGAGCGCCTTGCTGATTCGGTGCAGTCGGGGCATGCTAGGGAAATCAGAGGCATCCTTGAAAGGTTTGTTCATGAACAGCTGGGGGACGTGAAGAAGTTTGCGTTCATGCTGGCAACCGGGAAGGTTTCCTGTTCTCCTTTCTCTGATGAGGCCTTGTCAAGCCTCAGGCGGAGCATTGCAGCGACCCTTGGTGACCCGGCCGGGGCATTAGAGGTTCCAGAGAGGCAGCCCTTCTACTTGTACATGCTTGCGCAGTCCCTTCAGATTCTGGGCGACCCAGACTGGGAGATCCTCACGCAGGGCGAAGAGTGTTATGCAAACGGCGTGCCACTTGGGCACGACAGACCGCTGCCGCGCACACCCCAGGTCTTCAGAAAAAGGTTGAAGACGAGGCAGTTGGATGAAACCCCTTTTGATCCCATCATG